CAATGAAGAAATAGTGAGAAACGTCACAGAGAAGATGCCGTCGGTACTACGCTTCAAGTACTACGATTTCGCCAACGACTAACCGGAGGGACAACCGGACCTCATAACACTCTCTCAGTTCCTGCAAAGGACCGCCGCACGATGTGGAAACTTCGCCCCCGCCGAGGAGATACCGTCCGAAGACCGGCGGGAGTCCGCTCCCAGGAAGACGGAGAAGACATACGCGACGCAAGAGAAACCCGCTACACCACCGTGCCCGATGTGTCGACGAGAGGGACACGCTCCATCGGACTGCAAGACGATGAAGGAAGCGGACACATCGGCGAGATGGGAGCTAGCGAAGACTCATAGGCTGTGTTTCCGTTGCCTCAAAGTGAGAAGATTTCGCCACGCCTGCAAAAGCAAGAGATGTGGAGTAGATGAGTGCACGCAGACTCATCACCCTCTGCTGCACACCACGCGACAACAGCCGGAGAACGAAGTGACAACACACGTCATCGAGGACAAGTCCGCCGCAGTCGCCGCATCGGCAAGGGAAAACGACAAGATCGCGTTCCTGAAGATCCTGCCGATACGAGTCACCGGTCCCACGGGAACGTGCGACACCTACGCGCTACTGGACGACGGGTCGACTTGCACCATCATCGAGACGGCGGTGGCGGAGCGAATCGGTGCTACGGGTTCCCCCGCACCATTCTACATGGAAGGTGTGGCCGGGGCACGGATCAACGCAGCTCAATCGACGCGTGTCCACTTCAAGATCCGCGGGCGGAATTCACAAGAATACACAGTGGGGGCACGGACGATGGACAGACTGCAGTTATCACCGCAGTCGGTACCACGCAGCGTCATCAAGGGCTGTCCACATCTACAAGACATAGAGAGGGAGTTGGTCTACGAAGAGGGCAAACCGACGGTACTGTTGGGGCAAGACAACTGGCACCTACTGCTGACCCACGAAGTCAGAAGAGGATCCGACACGCAGCCGGTCGCATCACTCACCGACCTGGGATGGGTACTGCACGGTACGAGTCGCGGCAGGGCAAGACAGCAGGTGCACAGAATCAGCCACATAGTGACGACACACGAAGAGGAACAATCGATGGAAGAAATGATGAAGCAACATTTCGCGCTCGAATCGCTGGGGATCGCACCGAAGAGGTCCTACAATGAAGAGGAACGTCGCGCCCTACACATTTTAGAGGAGAAAACTCGTCCGCTACCGGCGGGAGGATACGAGACGGGGTTATTATGGAAGAAGGACGACCCTGTGCCGCCGGACAACTACGAATCGGCAATGCGACGTCTCCAACTGGTCGAAAGGAAACTCGACAAGAATGAAGAAATTAAGAAGAGGTATGAACAACAAATGGACACGCTACTCAAGAACGGGTATGCCGAAGTCGCCCCGCCACGGAGTTCCCAACGGGTGTGGTACCTGCCACACTTCGCCGTCATCAACCCACAGAAACCGGGGAAACTGCGGATCGTGCACGACGCAGCAGCCAAGACGAAGGGCATCAGTTTGAACGACATGCTGCTGCCGGGCCCCGACTTACTTCAATCGCTACCGGGGGTCCTCATGCGGTTCCGGCAACGACGGGTGGCAGTCACGGCGGACATAAAGGACATGTTCATGCGGGTCACCATACGGGAAGAAGATAGGGACATGCAACGATTCCTGTGGCGAGGAGATCGACGAGAGGGTCCACCTGTGGAATATAGGATGAAGAGTGTCATATTCGGCGCAACATCGTCACCGTGTACAGCGATCTACGTCAAGAACAAGAACGCAGAACAGTACAAGGAAGAGTTCCCGGAGGCAGCAACGGCGGTGGTCATGAACCACTACGTCGACGACTACCTCGCCAGCTTCGACACGGAAGAGCAAGCCGTACGCGTCTCAAGACAGGTCGCACAGATCCACGGTCGAGCCAACTACTATCTCCAACGGTGGGCGTCGAACTCGCATCAAGTGCGCGCCGCGTTCTCCGACACCGGCGGGGACAGCGTGGTACAACTCGACGCGGAGAAGATACTGGGGATGGTATGGCGACCTTCTGAAGACACCTTAGGCTTCAACTTCAACGGACACAAGCTTCCGCCACAGATAGCTAGCGGGGAACAGACGCCGACGAAGAGGGAAGCGCTACGAGCAATCATGTCGCTGTTCGATCCACTGGGCCTCGCCACTCCCATCACCATACAGGCGAAGAAGATATTGCAGGAGACGTGGCGTACCGGTATCGACTGGGACACCGAGCTGCAACCACGGGAAGCGGACGCCTGGCGGAGCTGGATGGACCACGTGCGACGGCTGTCCGCGCTGGAGGTGCCGTGGTGCTACCCGGAGGTAGCCACGGCCGATACAGCGGAGCTGCATACATTCGTCGACGCCAGCTCGGACGCGTACGCCTGTGCCGTGTACTGGCGGGCCGTAAGCGCGACCGGCGAGGTCCACGTGTCGCTGATCGCGGCAAAGGGACGAGTGGCCCCACTCAACAAGGTGACCACGATACCGCGACTGGAGCTGCAAGCGGCCGTCCTCGGGTGTCGCCTATCACGCACGGCAGTCGAAGAACACGACCTGAAGCCCGCTCGCCGAGTATACTGGTCGGACTCACGCACCGTGCTCGCATGGCTACGCACCGGTCCTCGCGCATACAAGCCGTTCGTCGCGCATAGAGTCGCCGAGATCGTCGAAGAAACGAAGACGAACGAGTGGAGATGGATACCGACGCGGCACAACGTAGCAGACGACGCCACACGCGACCCACCGACGGACTTCGGCTCGCAGCATAGATGGTTCCGTGGGCCGGACTTCCTGTACCTCCCCGAAGAGCAGTGGCCGCGTGAAGATAGTACGAGCGACGATAGTCAAGCGGAAACGGGAGAAGAACGCGTACACAAGCTACAGAACGCGACGCAGTTGTCTATAGCATTACCCGATCCGTCACGTTTTTCTAATTGGTTGAAACTTGTTCGCAGTTCAGCACGAGTGTTGCAGTTCATCGACCTCCTGCGACCGACCAGTCAACGCTGTACCACCATCCGAAAGAGAAACAAGAAGAAAGAGAGCGCCGACCCCACTTGGACCCGCACGAAGAAAGTCGATAGAGAGAAGACGAAAATGAAAACCAAGAACAGCAATAGTCCATCTGTGTGTTTCATCCCCATAGACACACACTACCTAGATCACGCGCGACGGCTATGGATTCGCGCGATGCAACAAGAGGCGTTCGGCAACGAAATCGCAGCATTGAAACATGGAAAACAGCTGCCGTCATCCAGTCGACTCATACAGCTGTCGGTCGTCATAGACAACGACGACATTCTGCGACTTCGATCGAGAATAGCAGCCGCCGCCGATCTGTCAGCCGAGCAACGAGAGCCCCCGTCGTCGACGGAAACCACACCTGGGTGCGCCTATACATCGCATGGGTGCATCGGAAACTTCACCACGGCGGCTTCGAGATCACCACGAACGAGGTGCGACAACACTTGTGGGTGTTGCGCCTACGACACGCCGTCCGCAGTGAACTGAAGAGGTGTCAGCTGTGCCGCCTACGAAGAGCAAGACCGGCGCAGCCATCAACGGGCAACCATCCACAGAGCAGGCTGGCGCATCATCAGTGACCGTTCACGTACACCGGCCTAGACTACTTCGGGCCTATGACCGTGACAGTGGGCCGCACTCACCAGAAACGATACGGAGTGCTCTTCACCTGCCTAACGACGCGCGCAGTTCACCTAGAAATCGCCGGCAGCCTCAGCACGGACTCCGCCATAATGGCCCTGCGGCGCTTCATAAGCCGCAGAGGGTGTCCCACGGAATTATGGTCCGACCAAGGCACCAACCTCAAAGGTGCTGACGTCGAACTGAAGAAAGCAGCCGAGGAAGCCATCCAAGAAGAGTCATCAGTTCATTTCATCCGGTGGCGCTACATTCCCCCGAGCACACCCTTCATGGGAGGTGCGTGGGAACGGTTGGTGCGTAGCGTGAAGACCGTACTAGCCGCTACGTTGAACGAGCGGGCCCCCAAGGAAGAGGTCCTCCACACTCTGCTGGTCGAGGTCGAGCACACCCTCAATAGTCGACCGCTAACCCACGTGTCGACATCGGCAGACGACGACAGCGCCCTAACCCCCAATCACTTCGTATTGGGCAGTCCATCGCGCGTCCCACTGCCAGGCAGCTTCACAGAGAGCGACGCGGCGGGACACAAGGAGTGGCGTGCCAGCCAGAGGCTAGCTGACTGCTTCTGGAACCGGTGGGTGAAGGAGTACCTACCCGAGTTGCAACACCGGCGGGAGCCCCGAGCTACACACGGAGCCATCAAAATGGACGACCTGGTCCTAATAGCTGATGGGACCTTGCCTCGCAACACGTGGCCGCGAGGCGTGGTGGTGGCGACCTACCCTGGACCAGACGGCGAGATCCGAGCGGTCGACGTGCGGACGAACAAGGGCATCCTACGGCGACCCACTAAGAAATTGATCATACTGCCCACATCGACATCGAGCGACGCGAATCCTCATCTATCACCGCTCGCTGGTATCACGCCAGCTTATACCAACAGTGCAGGTGGGGTTACCATTCCATCATCATCCATTAACAATAAACATACTACGTGTATAATTTAAAGAGTATTAGTCAAGTTGTTGAACAGCCTGGTGGCAACAAAAAAAATAGTATTGCATTTATTATATTAGTAAGAACGTAAGGTAAGGTAAATCATTGTTTGAATGAAGAAAAACTTTTAAAGACTACCAATGTTCAACAACAATGTACAAAGACACATTTCTTGGATATTTAAACGATTTCACTATAAGTCACATGCAAGATACTTTGAAATTGAAAACTCTTGTAGCAAACAAGGTGTTTAAAAATATCGGATCACTAATTTCCTACGTTTTTGACGATAGACGTGAGATATTAAATGACAATGGAATTCTCGACAACGGAAGTCAATTTAAAAATTCCTATTTCAAAATACTCGTTATTTTGTTCCAGTCACAGATGTCGTTTGGGAGTCGAAATGAAATTCTGCCGTCACTTGTTCGTTGACAACTACGCACCGACGTGCCCTGAATCTTATACGCTTTTTTGTGTCGATCTTTTGATAGGTGTTTTGCTTTCTTGTGGATTGATTATTATTGTTGTTAGTTAATCTATGGGGAAATAAATTGACGAGATACTAATTATAGTATCTAGAAGCCCCATTACTAGGAATATACTCTACTGGTTGTAGTTCCACAAAATAACATCTCTTTAAATTTAAAAGTTGAATGTGACAAGGAGAACACAATACAATATACTAGGTAGTTCAAGAAGAAAAAAATTCGAATTATTTATTGTGTATATACATATATTATTAACTACTATTGTATTATGTGTGTTATTACAGTTTTAACTGTAAATGGCATAGCTTATTTCTTACATCTTAAATAAGTTACAGTAGATTCCTACTATAAAAAGAAAAGTTTGATGCAAGACAATAAAAATATAATAATTGGAATAAAAAAATGTACGTTAAAAATTAATTTGAATATAAAAACAAACATTGAGCTAATTATTAATACGATAATAAATAAAATTATAATAAGTTCCACTTCATAATATTCCGCGTGAGACATGTTCGCGGAAGGTGAACGCAAGTGAGCAGCGCCGTATCGAAGCACGTGCTCCGTCCACCACACAGCGCGCTCTAGTGATGGCTGAGGTTGATCCGACAACCACTTGCGCAGGTTACCGATGTTATGCCGGTAGCTGTAAAAAAAGAAAAACAATTCATCAAAATCAGAAATTACATAAGGCTACAGTGGGAAGCCTTATTGCTAAATATTATATATATTAAAATTTTATGATGTTTTTGTAAATTCACAAGTAATTGTGAACGTATAAAAATACATAATAAACTTCAATAAGATTTTTATGACTTATATTTTTTTATAATTTAATAAATATAACTTAATACTTTTTTTTAGCTTATATATTAGTGTATTTTTTATTGCACCACCCAATTTTGAATCCAATTTACACTGAGAGGAAAGGGCATCAAACTCAGTTATTGCTTTTCAAACACAAGTCTAATTTTATAAGGTAACATTTTATCTTAGGTTATGTAGATTTTTTATGCAACTTAGAATGGCAAACAAGCTGACGGTCCACTTGATGGAAAGTGGTAGCCGTCGTCCTCCGTACCCTATAAATTCTGTTCCGCCCATGATAGCCCGCCATGCGTTCCATTCCTGAAGACTCAAGTGCTATTCTTGTGTACCCTGTAAATTCACTGCCATATCCCACCCCTCAAACTGAAACACAGCCATGTAGATACAACTGCTTCACGGTAGAAAGAAAGTACTTTATTTTTTAGATTGAAATACTTAGTTTTATCACAACAGAAGTCTCTTTGTGGCAAACAATCTTTAATTATGAAATTTATATCATCATTATTATATCAGTCTTTAGTTGTCCATTACTGAATATAAGCATCCTCCTGGGGGGTTTTATTAGTAGTTGCTACGCTTGGAAGGCGGGTTGGAACTGCAGTTAGGCTTTAGAAATGTTTTAAGAGGCAAGCTGCTGCCCATCCCTCTATCTCTTATCCCTCTATCTCATTACTCTATCAGAAGTATTTGTATTTTTTCAACATTTTTATAAAATGTGTACTAAATTTTAAATCGATCGGTCCAAAAGTTTGAAAATTGGTTGTGAGAGACGAACAGATAGGCAGACACGCAAGTGAGCCTATAAGGGTTCTATTTTTTTCTTTTACAGTGCGGAACCCTAAAAATGTAGTGACTAATTAAAAATTACTAGGAATCTCACTATTTGTATTGTATTTTAATTCATCATCATATCAGCGATTAACCGTCCACTACTAAACGTAGGCCCCACCCTTGGAGGGTTTTGTCAGTAGCTGCCACGTTTGGCAACCGCAGATGGCCTTTGATCATATTTTAAGGGGTACGCTGTTATCTATTCCTCGCTTCTATCTATCTATACCTTTAAATTCCTTAAGTCACCTCTTACGAAATCTACGAGAAAGAAAGGGGTTGGTCATTGTACATCGAGACCATACAGCATTACAATGTGTACACATCCAATTCAGCTTATTTGTAAATGTGAGTAGACAAAGAAATGACGTCAATGATCAGCCCATATGACTGAGTCATTATTTATTTAAAATGTTAGCATTGAGATCTCTTTGATCAGTTGACTTTCTGAGTCATGAGTAATTTGAGAAAACATACGACAGAAAAAAAAGTAACTCAAAATGACACAAAAGATTCATCTTTGGTGTCATTTTAAGTAAATTTTTTAAAAAGGTGATTTGTATATATTACTGTAAAACCCAGTGCATTGGTAATTCTTATCTTATGCATCGTAGGTTTTACCGGTGAATTTTAAGATTTACCGACACCAGTTGGCAAATGTAAAGATTATAAATTTTCATCTCAAATACTTCAAAGTTTGAAGAAGGTTTTACATTCCGAAGTTAGTAGTCCATACTTATTCCCGCTTACTTAGGTCTTCTTATTAATAAAAAAACGCAGTATAGGATGATCACACCGACTAGATGGAAAGACGATGTCAAATACATTGCAGGAAGTCAGTGAATGCAGGTAGCTCAGGACTGTTCCTTATGATGGTTTATGAGAGAGGCCTCTGTTCAGCAGTCAACAGACAATGGCTAAAATGACGATGATGATATACATACTTGATCAACATTTAGTTGATTTTCAAACAAAAACAATAACATTAGTAATTTACCTTTCATCTTCTAAGACGACTTCGATTGTTTTTTTAAATTGCTCAACTGTAGTTGTTTGTAAATTAATCACTTCGCCGATTTTATGATATCTATATTTTTCAGCGTTGTAAAATTGATCTCCTAATATTGGTACTGCAACTAAAGGAACTTCAGCGGCTATAGCTTCGTGTGTAGAGTGTATGCCTCCTTGAGTGATGAATAGCTTGACGTTGGGATGTCCTGAATAAAATTTATAATTTTATTTTTAATATATATATTTTTTGTACATTGCCTATATATTATGACGAGTCTTCATAAACGTGATAGTAGGGTTATATCTTACTTAAAGTAATTATACTTCTTATATATATTCTTTTAGTCGCCTTCTATTATGTATTGAGAATGAAAAGAAGTGATGACGTACCTACTAGCTTTTACTCGCAACTTCATCTGGATCTGATATTAATCAGGATAAAGGTGGCTTTCCTCTATTGTTTCTCTTATATTATCCTTCTCCATTTTATATAGTACGTGTATACTAAATTTCATGATGTCTGATTGTGTTGTTCCACGTTTATAATATTAGTAAGTACTTAGAAGTACTTACTCGATCGTTACATGAAGAAGAAGGTATTACCATTATGGTACTACCATCTTATTTAATTTTTGTCATGAACATCATCATCATTTTTCTGCCCTTACACCAATTATTTGGGATCAGCTAATATGATTTTATTTATGTTGCATAATATTTTAGATTTTGGTTTTATAACCAGTCTCCTGGAAAATAATTTGTTGATGGTATCTGGTATGGAGGAAAGGATTAATGGTAAAGGAAGAAGGTTGGTAGAAGTGAGTAAATAAAGTACAAAAGGATAAATTCTATCATAAACATAAAATATTATTATCGAAATGTTCAAATAATACTTACTGAGAAGTTCTGGTTGGGGGATCCATTCCAGAACTTTGATATTTCCTGGTAAACTCGAAAACTGATCTTTTTTGCATTTGAACAAAATATTATAGGGCATTTCTGATAACACTTCTAAGAGCATTTGTAACTTCTCTGCGGGTATATCGGATACTGTCACTGTTGTTCCAAAACTTACGTATATGACACCATTTTGAGATGAGTCCAAATAGCTTTTTAAAACCTGAAAATATTTTTTTAATTATACCATAAAAATGACAGAGCTATGGGTGTTGAGAGTACGTTCTTTAAAGTATGAATTGTTGTTATTATTATTTCAGCCGTTAATTGTCCACTGCTGAACATAAGCCTTCCCCATAAGGGGAGTTTTGATTTTAGAGATGTTTTAAAAGGGGACATTGCTGCCCATCTCTCTCTTAGTCACTTCTTACGACACCTACGAGAAAGGAAGGGGTAGCCCATTCTATGCTGGGACCACAGGGCAGATTAATATAATAATTATTTATACCAGCGTAAAAATAATTTGAATAAACTAGAAAGTCTGTTAATTTTATTAATTAATCCTAATTCCTACAGAACTGGCTTAGCTTACTGCGATCAATGGTCAAATTTAGTCTTTATACAAATTTTCTTTATCAATAAAAACATTTGTACTTTATTTTCATTTCGAAAGTATTTGTTATATGTACCTATTAATATTTTCTCATCATCCCTTACCTGCTCTAATTGTCTCTGTGGAGATTGATCAATTTCACCATAATATATGACACTGAGTGGAACAGGCCGATTGTTTGTCCAAATTCTGTGTGTATTCAATAACAATACATTGTCTTGATTATTGTTCATTTCAGTTATAGTTGGAATGTTGTTACCAAACATTTCATACAGTTTAATAGTATCCATTTCTTCTTGATGATATTCAAATTGTTCCAGCCAAAAACAATAGATCAGGTTTTTCATTTTCTCCCATAGTGTAAGATTGTTAAATCTCTTTTGCGTATGGTCTGGGTAAAATAGTGGATGAACAACACCTCCTACTAAATTTAAATGGTTAAAATGAGCTTCTAAAGAACTTATATGGATCATTGGTGCTTTAAATATATATGATAATATTGTATTCAATTTACAGGGGGAGGCTTCAGATAATATAAGATCAAAAGTGTTGTTTTTATCATTTATTACATTTTGCATTTCTTTGCTATTTAAATGCGCGGCATTCACTTCCGTACTGTACATGTTTATCAATTGTTTTTGACTCCTGAGATCTAAATCGATTCCATTTTTAATATGTTCCATCAGTATTTGGTTAACATCATTTGTTGTATAACTCACATCGATTTCGTGAAGATTGGATGGCACACTTTCATTCGTAAATACAGGCAGAGGAGTTACTACAACCACATTTGCCCCTCGCTTTGCGAGTTCTTGAGTTAAAGGTCTCATAGCCATTTGATGGCTTTCTAATGGAGCCGATAACACACTTAGAATTCTTCCAGATATTTTTCCGCTTGCGACATTCACGAATATAAATATTAATAAATAGGATAAAATTGATGACATCATGTTCCAAAGTTCAGCGGTATTAGAAAAATATTATATTATAATATAAATATATATTAACTTATTCGCGGATAAATAATGAATCCAATAGTGTCAAAACGAAGAATAAGTAGTAACAAATGAACGAAACTAATATCACGTACAAACAGGTAACATATGTTATTAAATTTAAACTAAATAAATTATGCAAAGTAAGTATGCGTGACTTTAAAGTGGAAAGTGTATATTGCGTATCTCTATTTATATATTGACAGTAAGTTGAAGTCGAAGAATAACCATCTCATAAATTAATTACTTCTAATTTTTTTAGTCGCAACATCGAATATAATTTTAGTGACAAATTATGTTTATAAATTCAGTTTAGCTTCTACTTAGGGCGCTAATTAAGATTTATTTACGTAAATAGAAAATATTTAACTAAAATATAAGAAAAACAATATTAACAATTATCTAAGTGAATTACTTATTAAATTAAAAAGGAAATTGGCTTTAATAAAAAAAATTGTGCTGATATAAATACTCATATATATTTATGTATGTTGTAATATTATTACTAGCAGTGTGGTGCCAGCATAGAAGGAGCCACGCGTTCCTTCCTCGAGGAAAAAGAGTCAAAAGAGGCGAGTAAAGGAACTTAGTGGTCGAGGGACGGGCAGCACTGTCTCTCTTTAAATATCATTAAAACCTAACTGCAGTCGCCAACCTGCCTGTCAAGCATGGCAACCACTGGCAAAGTCCCTCAATAGGACATGAGGACGATATTGTACATATATACTCGTATGTATTGCGAGGAAATCGAATCCACAATTATGGTGGAAAGGTGAGATATTAACGATAAAATTTTTCACTAACAAAATTGTGCAAACGGGTAGTTTTAATTCAATAATAATTAAGTAAAATGAACTTAGAACGTAACTAACCGGTAAACAGCTGAATTATTAGCGTATCTTTTTGCTGAGAGCACATTCTGGTTATGTTTTGTTTGGGAGGCACTTTCTATTTTCACAGTAAACATATCTCATGTTTTCTACGAAACCATGAAATGTGAAACTTCTTGAAGGGCACAAATTTCGTTCCGAGCCATCTTTATCTTGTGCGAAATATTTCATATGAAAGTTATGAAACATTTCGTAGGCCGTACGTATCGTGAACACGATTCTATATCTTGTATAAAAGTTTTTACAGTCAGAAACTTTCAAATTCTGATTTATGGTATAATATTTCCCGTTATCAAGCCGAATGAGATTTTTATTGCCCACATTCGGAATGAAATTGTCTCACAACAGATAAGGTATCGGCAAAGTGTCTAATCTTGCTGTTTTTCACTTCAATTTCTCAAAATATGATTATTTTTTTATAGTAACTGTGGAAAACATACGCACGACCTGTGTGATTATATTTTGTTATTCATTCATTCACTCATATCAACCGTCCACTGTCCATTGCTGAACATAGGCCTCCCAAATAAGGGGAGTTTTGCCAGTAGTTGCCATGTTCGACTGCGGGATTAGCAACCACAGTTAGGTTTTTGGTGGTATTTTATGAGGGATTATGCTGTCCTGAATACATTATAAAGTGAATATAATGAAGTAGGAGTAGAAAGTAGAAATGGTAACCGTCGCTTGTAGACATATTTATAGGCGACAGTTACCACTTTCGCTTAACCTGACCCTGAAAAAACTTTTTATAGAACCCCATGCTGTAGTCTCTTGGGAAAACCTCGGCAGGGAGTTCATTCTATAACCTGAGTGTTCGTTGGATATATAAATATGATGAAAAGATTTCTTCACCACCGCCTCTAATTTAAACAATTGTTTAAACTAAATATGAGTAAAATCGAAGTTACTAACATTATTCTCATGCATTTTTAAAGTTTGAGGCTCCCATATTGACTAATTAAATAAGGGAACGGGCTATTTATGTAAAGGCATTTTTTTAACATTTGTTTTTGCATGTTTTTTGATGCTGCTTTACTGATAGAATGTTCTTTAAAAGAATAATATTTATTTATATTTTCACTTTGCATAAAATTGCATGAATGCGAGTAAAATGTTTAAATTTAATTGAAAAATAGACTCGAATAATTTTGATTTTATTCTAGGTATATTTTTGTCATATTTGGATTCATGTTTCCAATCAGACAGCTTTAGTTTGCGGGTAACTGAAAGCAGCCAGTCTGGGTGCATTGTGTTATATTTTCGATCAACATTTATTTAATATATTTTTATTTATTGGCTGTAGTGTGTTGGAGTTTAATCATCTGTAAATTTGAGGTAATATATAAAAAAAAATAATAAAAAATAAACCAAGATTCACACACAAGCTATATGTTTTCAAACACATTGTTGCTGTTAATGTGTTTTTTAAAACTTTTTCCCTCTTTGCAACATATTTTAGGAAATATTTTAGTTTATGTATATACGAATATAACTAAACAAAAATGTAAGTCACTGTAAAAAAAAGATAATATAAGAATCACATGGGAACCAATAAAGGGTTTTATTCTGTTATTTACAAGATCACCCCTAACCTTTTTTAGAATTAGAAATCCCTCGAAATGGAAATCCGGGACACATTAAAATATCCAATAGCCGAATGAGCGATGTTATTTTTCCTTCTAATCACTTAATCCCGTTTCACTTCTCTGGAAACCTTTTTAATAGGTCACATGTCTACATTATATCCGTATGGTCCCAGCGTAGAATAGACCACCCCTTCCTGTTCCATAAGTGTCGTAAGAGGCGACTAAGGGAACTTAACATTCGAAGGATGGGCAGCAGCGTCCCTTTTAAAACATCGTTAAAGCCTAACTGTGGTTGCCAATTCGCTTGCCTAGTATAGTTACTGCTGGCAACTACTGGCCAAACCCCTCTTGTGGAGGAGGGAAAGGGATTGTTAGTAACGGGGTCAAATAGCCCCATTATTAGCAATATACCCTATCAGGTGGACCTCCACGTGGTTCCCCCTGGAAACTCGTTTAATTCTAGTTGAATTCGTCAGGATGTGCTAACTGATCTGCTTTTATCCTCACCTATTATCTCTCACTGGTACACCGCGAGTGTAAATCGATAGCGCAGGCGGGGTTACCACGCCTTTTTCACCCACAAAAAAAAAATATAGCTCTTCTCCTAGAGAGGACTGCGATCCGTAATCTCCATACTCATTTTAAGTTTTTCAGATCATGTCAAAACAATTGCCAAAAACAACAAATACAATAAGTTTATAAAATTTCCATTACACTTTTCTATAATGTAAACCGTATCATTGACTTGTAACCAAGTATTCAAGTATTCTTACACATGAGTTGTTCCGATTCTAAAATCATTCAATTGTAATATTATTGAATCGGTTTCGAATACATTTTACATGATTTATGTAATAATCATCCCAGAATATCTAAATCGAATTAATATAGATAAATTCATTTGGACCGACCAAGAATGGAACATAGGACCTCATTTACGTAAAGCAACGTACCTATCTCCATACCATGGAGGTCATCTGCAGGGTTTGAATATCAGATAATTTGGTACGTTTGTGTGACATTTGTTATTATTCTAATTGCAATTTTATAAAAAAAAAAATGTTGTCTATTTTATATGAATATCGAGCTACAGTTTGGATATTTGTCGCCATGTCTAATGATACTAAATAAGTCGATGTTTATTTTAGAGCAGGTCTCAAAGGAGCAAACATTTTTATTTATTAGATTTTCTGTAGTTGATTTTCTATACGAGATTTAAGTCAAACAAAAGTGATGCACACTGTATTCTATTGACAGTAAATCTCGAACGGAGTAAACTGATTGGACTAGTGTAGTTATAATACATAACACAACCCAATATACAACACATCACAATACATAACACATGACACTCAATACATAACACAACACAATATACAACGCATCACAATTCATAACACATACACAGTGTTATGTAATTAATGTGTGCACAATCGAATTTTCTTCGTAATTCCATTCATTACCTAAACACGAGATGTTTATTACTTTGATAGCTATTATATTGTATATATTAATTATTTTACAAAATTTTATTACAAGTTTATTTTGTTTATAAAATATATTATGTATAAAATAACATAATTCGACATGAATTATATTAAAGAACGGCGGACTTATCCCATAAAAACATGTCATCCAGACAACCTTGAAATATCTAAAATGTTAGAGAAAAAAAATGTCTGGTCTAAAATAAGAATAAAATTTATATTTAATATTTAACAAGTAAAATATAGCTACTTATTTAGTTGTTTACTAATATGCTATTATTAATATGCTACGCCACAAATCAATATAAATAAAAGAATATTTGCCATATCACTGTAAGATCTTCATATCAGAATAGATTCATCTATTTGGCTGAATTGGGATTTTAATTGGTGGGGTAAGGTTCGTATTAAAGAAGATGATCGAAAAATCGTTTATTAGTACACCCATGCAAAGCTGGAACTATATAGGATTAAACTTGATGATTGATAGTTTTTTTTAATGGGTGAAAATGGAATGGTAACGTCTGCGCTATCGGTATATACTGGCGAGGCATTAGTGGGAGGTGATAAGTAAGGATGAAAGTAGGTCAATTAGCTTATCGTGAAGAATTCCACGAGAATTAACCACGATGGTTTTTAGGGGGAACCGTATGCAGGTTGATCTGATAGGGTACATTGCTAGCAATGTAGGTGTTAGAAAAATCGCACGCATCGAAAAATAAAAATATATATATATATATA